TGAAGTCAGCCCACATATCTCCAGGAGAGTGCCTCCCAGAGAAACAAGCTTGACTACTATGCCAACATCAAGTTTTCCCTGACCACTGAGTCAGCCATTAAGAAGATGGAAGATAACAATGTGCTTTTGTTCATTGTGGATGTCAAGGCCAACAAGCACCAGATCTAACAAGCTATAAAGAAGCTCTATGACATTGATGGGGCTAAGGTGAACACCTTGATTAGGCCTGATGGTGAGTAGAAGGCCTATGTCAGACTTGCTCCTAACTATGATGCTTTGGATGTTGCGAACAAAACTGGGATCATCTAAACTGAGTCTGCTGTCTGGAACCTTTCCAGAGTACAAGAGCAATCATGTCAGTCTGGAGACTAAGATTCACCTGATCCAGGTCATGGTCTTTGCAATCACCTGGTTTTCCTAGGAAACCCCTTATTCTACCTCCAGGCAAAGCTCTCATCAGAGCTGAACAATGACTAAGGATGATAGAAGAAAAAAAACAATGCCTTTGAGTTGTGGTGCTGGAGGAGAGTTTTGAACAGACCATGAAATGCCAAAAGAACTAAAAGATTTGTGCTGGAGAAGGTGAAGCCAAGTTGTTCTTTGGAGGCAAAGATTTTTAAGCTCTATCTCATATACTTTGGTATATTGCCAGGAGGGATCAGTCCATGGAGTAGAACATCATGTTTGGAAGGATGGAGAGGAAGACCCTGGATTGATACAGTGATTGGGGCAATGGAGATAGGAGTGTCAGAGACAGTAAGATTGGCTAAAGATAGCTATTGTGCATAGGGTTGCTGTGAGTCACAAGTGACTCAATGGCACATAACAACAGCAACAAGAAGCTGAGTCCTGTTGGCTAATTAAAAAAGTATGTTTTTCTCACAAAAAATATACATAAATGGGACCTTCTAAAAAATCCCATGCTTGTGTTTATCAAACCCTTCTCCAATAGAGTAAAAAGTAAGCTGACAGACTGGGGAAAAAGATTTTGTAATGACACCTGATACAGGATACATATCTAAAATTTATAGACAGCACAGCAACATTAAAAAGACAAACAACTTTATCATAAAATGGATAAAAGGTTTCTTTAAACTGTTAAAAAGCCATTATATCACCTTGAGGATTAAGGTGTGCCTGATCTAAGACATGCTATTTTTGAATGCTTCATATATGTGGAAGAGCTGGACAATGAATGTTGTTGTTGTTGTTGTTATTGTTGTTGTTGGGTTCTATTGAGTCTAGTACAACTCATAGTGACCCAATACGAACAACCGATCTGAACCCTGTCATATCCTGTGCCATCCTCATCATCTCTGATACTCTGATACTCTGAGTCCACAGCTACAGTAACTGTACCAATCCATCTAGTGGAGGGTCATCCTCTCTTTCGCTGAACCTCTACCTTTCCAGGCATGGTGACTCTTTCCAAGGAGTAGCCTCTCCTAGTAATATGTCCAAAGTATTTGAGACAAAGCTTTTCCATCTTTGTCTGCAAGGTACATTCTGGCCACTCTTTTCCCAAGAAATATGTTCTTTTGGCATTCCATGGGATATTGAGTACTCTTTTCCAACACTACAACTCAAAGACAACAATTCTTCTGTCAGTCTTATTCTTTATTCAACTCTCAGAAGCATAGAAAGTAATTGAGAAGATCATAACCTGAATCAGGTAGACGTTAGTCTTCAAACTGACATTATTGCTCTTTGGAGAGGTCCCTGACAGTGGACTTGGCCAATTCAATGTATTTTCCTGATTTCTTGACTGCTGGTACCAAAGGCGTTGATTCTGCATTCAAGTAAGATGAAACTGATGATGAATTTAAGCTGTTGTCCACCTACTATGATGTTGCTTATTGGTCCAGTTGTGAAGATTTTTGTCCTTTTGATGTTGAGATGCAACTCATATTGAAGACTGTAGTCTGTCTTCTTTTGCAGCATTTCAAGTTCTCCTTACTTTCAGCAAGCAAGGTTGTATTATCTGCATAACTCTAGTTCTTGCTGAGTCTCTCAGATCCTGATGCCACATTCTTCTTCATAGAGTCCAGCTTTTTTAATTATCTTCTCAGCATACAGACTGAACAGATATGGAGAAAGGATACCCACATCTATGACTCATGCCTTTTTTTATTATTTTACACCATGCAGTGTTCTCTTGATCTGTTTGGATAACAGCTTCTTGGTCTAGGTATAGGTTTTGCATGAGCATGATTATGTGTTCTGGGATTCCAATTCTTCTCAATGTTCTTCCACAGAAATAATTCTAGAAGAGGGGAAAAAAGATCATTACAAAGACAGAGGAGGAAGAAAAGACCAAAATGGATTATCAGAAGAGACTGAAAATTTCACTAAAGCTTTAAGAAACAAAAACAAAGGGAAGAAATGCCATAGTCAAAGAGATGAACTAAAAAAAATTAAAAAAAAGAGAAGAACAAAAGATTTCAAAAGGCAGCCCATCTAGACAAAGGAAAATATTATAACAGAATGTGCAAAGATCTGGAGCTGTAGTTGGAGAATAAAAAGGGAAGAATCCACTCAGCGTTTCTAATTGAAGAAGAATGTAGCATCAGGATTTGGAGATTCATTAACAACCTCCACAGCTTGGCTGAGCCATCACTGTGGAACTTTAATAAAACTTCTGGATTCAATGAGAATTTTAGATTTTGTTCTTCATTTTCTTTCTTTGAATTAGGACTTTTCTATAGGATCTTAGATTAAAATATTTAGTAACGGTAGCCAGAAACCATCTAGCTCTTTTTAAAAAAAAATTTTATTGTGATTTAAATCAAGGTTATAAAGCATATTTCCCCCCAATCATTTATGCTCATGCTCTCTAGCATTAATTATAATACCCACAAATGTCCATCCATTCATTCCATATACTCTTTCCCTTCACTCATTCTATATAAGTGTTTAATATCTATGAATTCATTTTTAAAATAAAGTTTTTATTTTAATTATGATTTTTAACAAAAGTTTACAGAAAAATTATATTTTCATTCATTCATTGTTGCACATTTTACCCCCTCTCCTTCCCTTTTCCCTCCTCCCCAGAACACTTTAAAAATATTCATTCATGGTTGCACTATTAATTCATTTTTTACTGCTTCTTGTCTCTTCCTATCCCATGCTAGAATAATTCTGTGTGTAAACTTTTTTAGCTTTTTCTAATCATGGTCTTATACATTTGTTCTTTGGGACTGGCTTATTTCAATTCACTCAACATAATGTTCTCTAGCTTTAACCACGTTATTCAGTGTTTCACAAATTCTTCATTGTTTTCTGTGTTGCAAAGTATTCCATTGTGTGAACGTGCCTTAGTTTTCTTTCTATTTATTCATTGCTGGGAACTTGGGCTGTTTCCATCTCTGTGGAACTTTGCTTGATATACACCCTTATATTGAGCTTTCTCCACTCTGAAGTCCTACTTCTACTACATTTCCTGATAAATCATTATGACATAAATTCTTGCCTTCGTGTATTCTAGAAGACTCATAATAGATACATAGTTTCTATCCCCCTTTCCCTGTACACAAACTTTTAATCATGTCTTACTTCCTATCAATCTCCAAACATACTCTTCACAGGTATTGCTTTACTTTGCTCATACTGTTTTCTCAACCCATACTAGCCTTCCCCCCACCCCCAACCCATGTTCATGTTTCATCATCTTTCCATGCTTGAAGAACTGGGCAAGAGTTGCCTCCTTGTTCCAATCTGACTCTATCTCTCTATTCCATGGTTTAACTTGTACTTATTTGTCTCTCTGGATGTACGTGTGCACGCATGTGTGTGTGCACGTGTGTGTGTTTTCATTTCAGTTCCATGCATAGTTGCATCACCTGTGTAAATTTATGTATCTACCATCACAGTTAAAGACCAGTTCTGTTACCACAAGGATTGCCCTTCAAGTTGCCCTTTTATAACTACAGCCATCTTCTTCCTGGCCTTCTTCCTCTCTCATACTCACTAACTCTCAGCAATTTATTGTCTTCATAATTTTGTAATTTCAACAGTATTACATAAATGTATAATATAGTATAGTACAGTATATAACATTTTGGATTAGTGTTCTGGTTAGATTTTTTTTAATGGCAGAATTGTCCTTGGGATTTGTACAAGTTGTTGCAAATAACAATAACCCATTCCTTTTATTGTTGAGTAATATTACATCATATAGATGTGCCACTCATTCGTGTTCAACTATTAATTCAATGAAGGACATCTGGGCTGTTTTCAACTGGGATGTTTTTAATAAAGCTGCCACAAAAATTCCCATACAGGTTTTTGTGTGGACATAAACACTAATTTCTCAGGAATAAATGCTTCAAAAAAGGACTTGCTGGGCCACATGGTAATACTTATTTACTTTTATAAGAATTGATTCAGCAGTCTTGCAAAATGAATATTCCACTTAACTTTTCCTGCAGCAATATTGGAACAAGCCAGTATTTTCACAGTGAATTCTTATGGTGTGGACTGTCAATATAGCTTTTAATTAGTGTCTGGTAGCCCAGAATGAACCAAGTTTTTCTCTTCTTGCTCACTTAGGAAGGCCTTGAGACATTGAAGGACTGAAGAAGTAACTTTTGGAGCTATTTTCAGTTATATCTTTATTCCTGAATCATACCACAAGATAAATAAGCAGACAGGCACAGACAATCTCACAGGAACACAATGGTCTATTGATTGGTTGCTCCACAGGAGAAAGATGAGCAATTTACAGCTTTTGAAAACCTGCTGGAGGATCAACTATGAGCTGGCTCCAGCTCACCAGCACATAATGACACATTCCTTCATAGAGTTTTCTAACCTTTCTTTTTCTCATATCTAAGGCAACTGTTCAGCAAATAAGAACTACCTTAGTTGAACGAGAATGGCCTATTACATTCAAGGTACTAAGTAAATGAAACAAGGTAATAAGTAAATTGAAACATGAGCTACAAAATAACAAAGCTAGTATTCTTATTCCTTCTCTTTCTCTGTCTCCCTTTGGCCAGGTGGAGTTTGCTCCAGACATTGGCCTTCAGTACAAAGGAGAACTGACAGTTGTTTTACGCTACATTCTTCCAGAGGAGAATCTGATTTTTCCACGAGAACAAATTCAAGGTAGAGATAAAAAAAAATCTGGCATGGGAAAGGAAATCATGAATTTGTTATATTTACTATCTTCACATTACACAAGTGAAACATGAAAGGTTAGGCATCACTGTCTTTGAGGGAAAGTGAAAAAGTATATACAATATATAGAGAAGGACACAGAATTCTTGAGAGTAAAGGACAAAGTTCATATTTTAAAATGAATCATAATGGTGAAGTTTGTTTCCTGGCAGTCCCAGAGACCTAAGACATTCCCAAGATGGAGAAGTGGGAATATGGTGTGGGTGTGGGTGTGTGGAAGCAGCTGTATTAATTAATAAGACTCACAAGTTCTCATGTAACCTTCTCTCTCTCTCTCTCTCTCTCTCTCTCTCTCTCTCTCTCTCTCTCTCTCTCTCCCTCCTCATTCGGTGACCAATGCAGGAAAGAAAACCCTTAAAAAGGGAAAGAAGAAAGAGTCACCTGTGATTTCTGGAGGAGTACTAGAAGTGTTCATCAAAGAGGCAAAGAATTTGACAGCAGTGAAGTCAGGAGGCACTTCTGATAGCTTTGTGAAAGGGTACTTTTTATTTAATTATTTTTAAAGAATTCTTTTTAATAAGGAGCTCTGGTGGCCTAGTAGTAAGGAGCTACAGTGCCAACCCAAAGGCACTGATGGTTTGATTCCACCAGTTGCTCTGCAGGAGAAGCATGAGCTCCTTTCATGCAATTTACTGCCTCTGAAAATCCAGTAGAGGGTCAGCTATGAGTCGGTTCTGATTAGATGGTATATAACACTATATTCTTATTCTCAGTGTTGTTGAAGATATGTATCACAAAACATACACCAATTCAACGATTTTTACATGTACAATTTAAGTGGCATTGATGGCATTCTTGGAGTCATGCAACCTTCTTACCTTCCTTTTCTGAGTTATTATTCCCTCCCTTAACACAAACTCATTGACCCTTAATGTTATTATCCACTTTTTCGAGTTACTATTGCCAATTTCATACCATACAGGTAGTTCTTAAAAGATCATAGTTGCTCAAAACAGACATTTTTAAGTAGATAAGCTAGGCTGTTATTTGGTTTTAAGAAGACTTTAGGGGATATTTTTGGTTTAAGATTTAAAGGTTACCTCAGGGCAATATAGTTTCAGGGGTTCATGCACCTTTATGCCTCCAGAGAAATAATATTTAATCTATTAAAAGATGAAAAGAGCCCTAATCTATAGGACTATGGAGACTATAATCTTTGTATGCCCTACTTATTCTACATGTACTCAGAAAAAACTACTCTTAAAGGTTAATTTCTCTATCTAAGACATTGTAAATGTTGCTGTTGAAAGATGTTGTCGAATTGACTATACATAGCAACCCTATGAACTAACACATCTGAACCTTGCCCTCTCCGGCCCATCCTCATGCTCTCCAAAATATCTGAGTCCATTGACAACAAAACTGCATTAATCCATTTCCTTGAAGGTCTCTTTCTCTTTCCTGATCCTTTATTTTTCCAACATATCGTCTTTTCCCAAGGACTGGCTCCTCCTGACAACATACCCAGAGTGTGAGCCGGCGATTCACTGACTTTGCCTCTAAGGAGCACCCTGCCTACATATCATCCAAGACAGACTTGCTGTGGTTTTGGTAGTCCATGGCATATTCAGTACTTCTCCAGCACCACAACTCAAAGACATAAATTCTTTATCAGTCTTCCTTATTCACTGTCCAGCTTTCAGATGCATAGAAAGTAACTAAAAATACCATGGCTTGCATCAGACACACCTTAATTTTCAAGTGCTGCTGAAGACTAAGTGCTGTTTAGTGCTTTGGAGAGGTCCTTGGCAACCTGCTTCCCCAATGTAACACATCTTTTGATTTCTTGACACCTATTTCCATGGGTGATAATTATAGATTGAAGTAAAATGAAATAGTTGACAACTTCAATCTTTCCTCCACCTATTATGATGTTGTCTATCATTCCAGTGGTGAGGATTTTTTTTCTTGATGTTAAGATGTAATAATCTATATTGAAGGCTATCGTTTATCTTCTTCAGTAAGTGCTTCAAGTCTTCTTCACTTCCTGCAAACAAGGTCGTGGTATCTGCATAGTATAGATTGTTGATGAATTTCCCTCCAATCTTGATGCCACATTCTTCTTCATAAGGTCCAGTTTCTCAAATTATTTACTGAGTGTTCAGATTGAATGGGTATGGAGAAAGGATGAACCCTGATGCACGCCTTTCCTGATCTTAAACTATGCATTGTTCCCTTGTTCTTTTAGGACAATTACTTCTTGGTTTATGTACAAAATTTGCAGGAGCACAATGAAGTGTTTTGTGATTCCTATTCTTCTCGATGTTATCAATAATTAGTTATGATCCACACAGTAAAATGACTTTACATTGTAAAACAAACCATAAGTGTGCATCTTTCTGGTATTCATGCTTTTAGCCATCTGATCCATCTGATAGCCCTTACTGCACAGCTCTTCTGAATCTAGCTTTAATATCTGGAAGTTCCCTGTGTGGTGGTTTCAGTCATTTTTCCCCCCTCTCTCATTAAACATTGTTTTAAGGGATCTGAAAATTCTGTGACAAATTTTTGGTCAAGTTGTTCCCATTTTAAAAACCAATAACTTAAAACTGCCACAACAAAAAAGAAAACAAATGGTTCACAAAACATTCCTTTTCTTCTGAAGGTTTTACAATGCACTGTTATCATTAACCAGTCTTTTACTATTAAACTTAAATGGTCAATTGAGACAAACAGTTCTGAGATCATTGTTCCACCACTGATTAAGACTGGGGTGGCAGGGCTTTCTGACCAGACTTAGTGACCTTGCCAGTTCCACCAGCTTTTGTGTCCACTGCTGTGGTGACACCCACAGCAACAGTCTGTTTCATGTCACAGATAGCAAAACGACAAAGAGGAGGATAGTCAGAGAAGCTCTACACACACATGGGCTTGCCAGGAACCATATCAACAATGGCAGAATCACCAGACTTCAAGAATTTGGGAGAATCTTCCAGATTCTTACCAGAACAGCAATCAATCTTCTCTTTGAGCTCAGCAAACTTGCAAGTAATGTGAGCTGTGTGACAATCCAGCACAGGTGCATAACCAGCACTGGTGTGGCCAGGATGGTTTAAGATGATCACCTGAACAGTGAAGCCTGCTGCTTCCATTGGCAGGTCATTTTTTCTGTCACCAGCCACATTGCCACCACATTGACGAACATCTTTCACAGAGATGTTCTTAACGTTGAAGCCAATATTTTCACCAGGCAGAACTTCTCTCAAAGCCTCATGGCATATTTCAACAAATTTTGTGGTAACATTGAGTTGGGCACATGTGACCACCATGCCAGGCTTGAGAACACCAGTCTCCAATTTGTCCATAAGGAGAGTACTGGTACCACTAATCTTGTAAACATCCTAGAGAGGTAGACATAGGGGCTTGTTCATTGGATGAGTTGGTGGTAGGATGTAATCCAAAGCTTCAAGAAGTGTGGTTCCACTGGCACTGCCATCCTTCCAGGTGACTTTCCATCCCTTAAGCCTATGTATATTAGTACTTGGCTCCAGTAAGTTGTCACCATTCCAACCAAAAATTGGCACAAAGGCTACTAGGTCAGGGTGGTAGCCAATTTTCTTGATATAGGTCAATGATTCCTTAATGATTTCCTCTTATCTCTTCTGGCTGTAAGGTGGCACAGTGGAATGCATTTTGTTAACACCAACAATTAGTTGTTTTACACTCAGTATGTGAGCCAGAATGGCACACTCACAGGTCTGTCCATTCTTTGAGATATTACTCTCAAATTCACCAACATTATCAGCAACAATCAGGACGGCACAGTCAGCCTGTGATGTTCCAGTAAACATGGTGGTTTGGGTTTTTTATAGTCTCTGTGTCCTGGGGCATCTAATGATAGACACATAGTAGTTATTGGTCACAAATTTCAATGGTGATGCCCTGCTCATGTTCAGCTGTCTTTTTGTTCAGGTGTATTTAAAGGAGCTTTTTCCCATCTCAACAGCTTCCTTCTTGAATTTTTCAATGGGTCTTTTGTCAACCCCACCACATTTGTAGATAAGGTGGCCAGCAATGGTGAACTTGCCTGGATCTACATGCCCAATGATGATGATGATGTTGATATGGGTCTTCTCCTTTCCCATTTTGGCTTAGGTTTTTCAGTGTTATTCACCAACACCTGTATTCTGGTGACAAACTCGTTGCAAAGAAGAAGTAGTTCCAGTAATTTTTAATAAACCTCAGCAGACTTTTATTTGCATGCAATAGTGATGATATTGTTCTATAATTTTCTCACTGTGTTGGACCACCTTTTATAAAAAAAAAATTAGAGCAAATATAGATTCCTTCCAATTGATTGGCCAGGTGGCTCTCCTCCAAATTTCTCACTACAGACTAGTGAGTATGTTCAGGGCTGCATCTGTTTGGTGAGACACTTCAATTTCATCAATTCTTAGGGACTTATATTTTTGTCACTGACTGCAGTAAAGGTTGGACTTTTTACTTCAGTACTGTTTATTCTTGATGATATACTATTACCTGGAATGGTTCTGTGTTGACCAAATCTTTTTGTCACAACGACTGTATTCGTTCCATTTTTGTTTGTTGTGCGTCATTCAAGACTTTGCACCCCGCCCCCCGCCAAAAAAAAAAAATAAAGACTTTGCCCATAGAATCCTTCAATATTACAACTCCAGTCTTGAATTCGTTCTTCATTTCCTTCTTAAACAATGCTGAACATGTTCTTTTCTTTTGGTTTTCTAACTTCAGCTCCTTGCATATTTCATTATAATACTTTGCTTTATTTTTCCAAGCTGCCCTCTGAAACTTTTATTTAGCTCTCTCACCTTAACATTCCTTCTCCTTGTTTTAGCTTTATTTTTAAATTTTTTTAAAAATTGTCCAGTGTAAGTTTTGGAATCTCTTCTGACATCACTTTTCGTCCTTTTTTCCTTCTCTATCTTTGTAATGACCTTTTGAGCTTCCTATGGATGATGTCCTTGATATTATTTCACAACTTGTCTTTGGTTAGTATTCAATATATCAAATCTGTTCTTGAGATGGCATATGAATTCAGTTGGGATAGATCCAAGGCCATATTTTGGTTCTTATGAACTAGTTTTCATTTTCTTCACCTTCAATTTTAACTTTCATATGAGTAGTTGATGGTCTGGTCCACACTCAGACCCTGGATTTGTTTTGATTGCTGAAAATTAGCTTCTCCACCATCTCTTCCACAAAAGTAATCAACCTGATCCCAGGTGAGGCCCATGTATAGAGTTGTCTTTTTTGTTTTCAAAGTATTTGCAATGATCTGTCCACCATGGGTGACCTCATTTCTGTCACCAGGCTATATTTTCCAATTACCAGTCCTTCTTTGTTTCCAACTTTTGCACTTCAATCACCAGTTGTTATTAATGCATCTTGATTGCATGGTCCACTAATTACAGATTGCAAAAGTTGGTTTAAGTACTCATTTTATTCATCTTTGTATATTTGAATAATAGTTGTATTAATAGATCTTCCTAGTATGTGTATAAATGGTATCCAATCATTCACAGCATTGTACTTCAGGATAGATCTTGACATTGTCTTATTGACTATGAACGCAACACCATTGTTTTTCAATTTGTCATTTATGCCACAGTAAATCATGTGATTGATTCGAAATGGCCAATACTGGTCTATATCTTCTCACTAATGCCTAAGATGTTGATCTTTATGTGTTCCATTTAATTTTTGACAAGTACCAATTCTCCTAGATTCATACTTCATTCCATGTTCCAAGTATTAGTGGATGCTTGCAGCAATATCTCCTCATTTTGAGTCTTGCCACTTCATCAAATAAAGGTCTTTTATTGGGTGAAAGTTGATCTCTGCCCACGTAATTACAGAAGATTCTACTTTGAAGAAGCAGCTCTTCTCCACCTGTATTTTGAGTGTTTTCCAACCTGAGGGGCTCATCTTCCAGCACTACATCCAACAATGTTCTTCCATTATCTATTGGACTTTCAAAGACATGCTACTTCAGAAATGGGTAGTCAGTCTTACTTTTTATCTGCCCACCATGAGTGTCCTTACTGGTATACTGATGGCATAGCTTCCAGGACACAACATACAAGTCACCACAGTGTGGAAAACTGACAGACCAGTAGTGGATGTGAATGTCAGTCCATCTAGATGTGAATATAGGTTTATTTAAAAATAAACAAGTGCATAATGATTTTTATCCAGTTTCCAGTCCATCACTCTCAGTGTCAAAACTAGAAAATTTTTCTATAAGATACTATTGCATTTCTTGAATGGAGAGAAATAATGATTTTTTTTAAAAAGTGTGATGCATATTCACTATACTTTGTTATCATTCCATACATAATACAACAGAAAGTTCTTAACTGGAGGAAATACAGACACTAGACATGGGAAGCTGCCAACATGCCAGGAACTCAGATGTAAGCTGAGAGTATGTAAGAGAGCAGTCACATGTGTCTACCATAGGAAGTATTCTCATTTCAAAATGGAGGAAAGCATCAAAATGGGAGCAGGAAGGATAATAAGAGCATTTTGCTTTTGGCCACACCTAAAAGAAAAAATAAACCATGCTACTAAGTAAATTTGTATTTCAGTATATAAAAACTTGGATTAAAAAAACAAATATATCATTCTTGGGAAAATATCCTAGACAGTATTGTATTCAAATAAGCTAATCAAAGCTGTCATTTTGTGCCTACTGTTTTATTAATGGATTTGTTGTTTATTTATTGGTTTTCTTTTGTAGCTACCTGCTCCCTGATGATTACAAAGTCACCAAGCATAAAACTCTGGTTATAAAAAAGAGTGTTAACCCTCAGTGGAATCATACTTTTATGTTCAGTGGTCTGCATCCCCAGGATATAAAGAATGTTTGCTTAGAACTCACTGTCTGGGATAAAGAAGCCTTTTCCAGCAACATCTTTCTAGGAGGAGTTCGTTTGAATTCTGGAAGTGGTAAGAGACTTGATGGGGACCTTAAGATGATCTCTGATTGGGCAAAGAATAGGGACATGACTGCTTGAGGTGTGGTATGTAGTTGATGTACATATAGTTTCAGTTATAGCTGACTCCTGAAATTACCAAAAGTGCTTCATTATTTTATCTAAATCTCTCTAAATGGCTAAAAGATAAAAATTACTCTAACCTTATAGCTTTAGAAGTTTGGTCCTTTGGTAGAATACAATTTACACTTTATGTGAGTTTTAAGTATTTTGGTTTTTGCCAAGGAGAGAATCACAAAGACAGTAGAAATATCTAATAGTTGAGGGACAGACTTCTAGGACCAACTTTAATGTGTCATCTTTCATCCTCTTCTCAGTTTTGCCCAGCAGTTGCAGCCTTTTTTCACGCTGTTAGCACTAAAAGGACATACATTTTTCCTGACAGATAACATCTGTTATTGTTAGGTGCCAATGGGTTGACTATGACTCATGTTGTTATTATTAGGTGCTGCAAAGTTGACTAGGACTCAGCAATTCTATGAACAACAGATAGAAATCTTCCCCTATCCTGTTACATCTTCTCAATCTCTGTCATGCTCAAGCCCATTGTTGCAATCACTGTGTCAGTCCATCTCCTTGAGGGTCTTACTTCCTCTCTTTTATGGACCTCCCTCTTTTCTTAACGTGAGGTATTTTCCAAGACACATCACAACATGCATCCTCACAACATGCCCAAGGTATGTGAGAGTAAGCTTCATTATCCTTTCCCATAAGGAATACCTTGGTTACATTTCCTCTAAGACACATTTATTGTTTTTGTTTTTCGGTGTTGTTGTTGGTTTTTTGGATTTTGGTTTTGGGGGGGGGTTTTGTTTGTTTTTTTTTTTTTGCTGGTCCATGTTATATTCAATAATCTTCGTCAACATCATAGTTCAAAGCCATTGAGTCTTCGTTGGTCTTCCTTATTTATTGTCTAACTTTCACATGAGTAGAAAGCAATGAAAAATGCCATGGTTTGAGCCAGGTTCATATTAGTCTTTAAACTGACATCCTTGCCCTTTAGCACTTTCAAGAGGTCCTTAACAGCAGATTTTCCCAATGCAAAAAATATTTCTTTTAAAAATTATTAATATTTTTATCATTCATATACATTTTTTATGCATCTACATCATGTTTCATACAGTTCTTCATTTCTATTCTTTTATGTTCCTTTATATTGTGGGGGTTTTCCCTCCTATTTTACAATCATCCCACCCACAGCTACTTTCATGAAAGCAAGTGAGCCTGATACTTGATGCCTCATGCCCTAGTATCTCTCACTTTTAGATGTCTTGACTTTTGATTTCTTGACTGATACTGCCATGATACATCCAAGAAAACAAAGTTGTCAACAATTTCGTTCTTTTCTACATCTTTCATGGTGTTGCCTGTTGGTCCACTTGTGAGGAATTTTCTTTTCTTGATGTTGAGCAGGAACAATAAATAATTTTGTAAATTATTCCCTAATTTGAGAGGGACTGGAGAGCATTATGCTGAGTGAACTCAGTCCTATAAGGACAAATACTGTATAAAACCATTATTGTAGAATGAGCATGAGGATCTAAGGGGAGAGGGGAGAGGCAAAAGGGTGAGGATGAGCGGGGGAGGGGGATTAATCATGAGGTCACACAATTTGATGGGTGGGGGTTTTAGGGAAATGGGAAGGAACTGGTGTGAGAAACAATGCATTCAAATTTTGTCAATAAACTAGTATAATAAAAAAGTGAACTGGGGAGGAGGGAAAGGAGGGAGAGGAGGTAAAATGTGCAACAATGAATGAATGAAAATATTTTAAAAAAAAACCCACTGTAGTCTTTTATTTTCTGCAGTAATTAATATGAGTGTTCTACACTTTCTGCCTGCAAAATTGTGTCATCTGCATAAGGCAGGTTGTTGAGTCATCTTCAAATTCTAATGCCACATTCTTCTTCAAATAGTCCCATTTCTTGGGTTATATGCTCAAAATACATACTCAATAGGTATGTTGGAAAGATACAACCCGGACACACATCTTTGCCAATTTTAAACTACTCAGTGTTACCTTGTTCTGTTAGGACAACTGCTTCTTGACATAAGTGTAAGTTTCTCATGAGCACAATTAAGTGTTCTGAGATTCTCATTCTTCTCAATATTATCCATAATTACTTTGGTCCACACAGTTGAATGCATTTCCATAGTCAATAAAACACAAGTAAAAATCTTTTTGGTATTCTCTGCTTTTACCCAAGAGCCAAGTGACATTAGCAATGACATCCCTAGTTCCATGAATGCAGAATGTTTCCTGTCAATGCAATATTGAACCCATTTTTTATAATGTTCTGCAAGATATTATTTGCATTTGATATTAATGATATTGTTCAATAATTTTCATTCTATTGTGTAAGCTTTTGGGGGGGGGGAAATGATCACAAATACAGGGTTCTTCCAATTAATTGTCTTCCCAATTTTTTAGCATAGATTAGTAAGCACATCCAGGGAGGTATCTGTTTACATGTCCAAGCATGCATCTCTTCAGACAGAAATTTATATTCTGTCAATTTCTGGGGCCTTTATATATTTTTTTAAATTATTATTAAATTTTATAAGTTTTAATGAACATTTACAGAGATTTTGGGTTCTCATTCATTCATTGTTGCACTGTTTTCTCTACCCTCCTCCCCAGTTCATTCTTCTCCCCACCCCCCGAATGTCTTCTTTCAATATTATTGGTTCTTGAGTATGTTACATCCTGAAAATTTTTAGTACCAATCAGGGGTGTGTATTGTTGGGTTTTTTTCACAGTGACTTTGTGTATTCCTTCTATCTTCTTTTTTTTTTCTTCTTTTCTTCTTCTATCTTCTTTTGATGCTTTATGCATCATTCAAAATTTTACCCACATGATTTTTCAATATTGCAACTTTTTCTTCACTTCTTTCAGCTTGAGAAATACTAAGTGTGTTCTATTATTGTTTTAAGCATAATATGGAAACACATCACTGGCAGTGGAAGACATGACTAAAATAATGTAGAATAATCTTTTTTAAACACCAAAATTTAAAAAACCTCCTTAGAAGTAGTAGTGCACAGGAAATTGCCCACAATTTCGCCATCTCAAGATGCATACCAGGTATAGATGCTTTGTATGCACCAAGGCCAACGTTCCTATAGAGAAGGAACATTGATAGAATAAGGGGAGCTGAAAACATCAGTGTCACCAAAGTGATGAACATTCAACACACCCAAGAATTGGCCTTGTTAGGAAGTGAGAACCTCAGAGTCTGGTTCAGCCTGTTGTTGTGTCAAGTTAACTTGACACAGTCCAGATGAGCCAGTTCTTCCTCTGCTAAACCATCAACGAGTGAAGTGATGAGCCTCCAGAGTCGTCCTGATTTCTTTTTCATGATACAGGCTGAAGAGACTAGTACAAGTTGTGCAAATGTTTTCTTTCCTCTAACACCGCTGACTAGGTACTTAAGTCAAGAACAAGTAAGAAATCAACTCTGGCCTGCAGGCCTCCACATCCTATTCAGAAGAAATACCTTTCAGAACACCACAACATTTCATCTGTCAAGTATAATGTTCTCTTTCCCTTTTGTAGGTGTGAGCTATGGGGAAAATGTGGATTGGATGGACTCTCAGGGAGAAGAACAACGTCTTTGGCACAAGATGGCAAACAACCCTGGGACTCCTGCAGAGGGTGTACTCATGCTCCGTTCCAGCATGGGGAAACGTAGGCTCTGAAGGCATCAGTTCTCTGAGACCTAATGCTCATTTGGCTGCTGTTCTCTACTATTTACAGACTTTGGAACATGGTCTCATTCCCTAACATTTCTCACTCAAAACATTAGGACATCAGTGTTCTGATCACTTAGGACATTGTCGAGTGCCTAAACCAGCCATGTACTTGATAAGGGCCAAGGCCTTCTTGACTGGATGATGAAAAATGATAAGCCAATTGTGCAATGGCTCATAGGCTTTATGCCATAAGATAAATGGCACAAGCTTATTTGAAACTAGTGTTAAGATTGAGGGGCCCCACCCCTCTTCATAATATGACTTGCTTTAGATTCCCCCAAATGGTTGTGACAAGTGGGCCACTGAGAATGTAGATCACTTGAAGAATAAGAGAACAAGCTACCCTTCACTCACCAAGTCCCCATGATCCAAAGGCACTTTGGGAATGGTGACAAACAGTGGCATGTTAAGCCTGTACTGTAGCTACCTGTGTATTATTAATCAGATAAGATTTCAAGTTGGGCTGACAGAATTTTATACACTGTCAAACAAGTTCTCATCTAAATCAGCCTGCTGTTGAGAGTGATGAGAGCTAAATGCCTGTGGACAAACAGATGCAAATGTGGATAAACTGGGAAGTAGAGTTATGACCTGCCTAGTAAAGATCTTTGTTATAAATATATTTTTAAAATGTCCTAAGCCATTAACTAAAGTACAAGAAATAATGATCCATCTGTACACCTTTCACATTTTGTTTTTGGATAAGAAGAGTTTGATGCAAAAGGAGGTACCTGCTGTCTCATGTCGGCCTCTCTCCTACCCTGCTATATGAGAATGCCTTGGACCCTATTTTTCTCTCTTTCATCTTCTCCTTCACTGAGTTTTGGTCCCTGCCTTTTGTGCTGCTTAGCAATTGTTATAATAGCACTGAGTAACAAACCACCTCAAAGTTAGTGATTTAAAAGGACAATCCTTTATTCTCATGGATATACAGGTTGGTTAGGGAAACTCTGCTTCCTGCTATAGGCTTGAGGATCTGGTCTATTATTGCACATGTCTCATCCTCTTTAGGAGACATAGCCAGCACATGTTCTTCTCATGCTGGTAGCAGAGGTGCACTGAAGAAGTACAAGTTGAGCCTCTGCTTTTGTCATGTCTACTGATATCTCATTGACCAAACCAAATCGCACAGCCAAGCATCACTTCAAGGAGCAAGGAAATATTCTCTACCCACAATGAAGCCATGGCAAGAATGAGGATACAAGAAGGGATGAAGAATTGGGACCAATAGTTCAATCTGTCATACCATGCTTAAGCCACAAAACTTAAGCACAAACATAGTTGCTAAAAGTGGAAGGGATCTCAGGCCTGACATCTCATTTGGCATATTCAATACCTGAAGTCCAGCAGAAATGACGCACCCAAGGTCATATAGAACTTATGACTGAAGCTAGCCTTAAATCCATGGCACACCTTGGCAGGGTGAGCAATAGGAAATGTACATCCTTGACCCCATCTCCGTCTAGTCCCTCATCTCATTCTTTTCACTTGAATTCATATAAAATCCTGAAAAGTATAGAAATAGAATTGTAGCAAAGAATAGCATTTGTAAAACTTTGATTTAAAAATAGTCATTAGCATTTTGATTAGGATCCTAGGAAGATTTGGAATTGATAATAATCCATGTTGCTGGCTCTCTGAAGGCTTCTTGGAATCTGAGAGCCATTACACAGGGTGACGAATGTGTTTAGTGTTGTTTTGCCCAAGCCTCACACATGTTCTTTACATGTATGGATACCACATTCTGCATCACACGTGAGAAGGAAAGAACTCCCTTTTCAGTCACCACTTGGAAAATACAATGCCCAGAATGAAAAGTGCTAACCCAGAAGAAAAAATGCCTGTGATTTCCACAAACTAGTTTTGTGGCCCTAAAGAAAACAAACAAACAATAACAAAAACAAAACCCAAAACACCACATACACACACAAAAAACCCAACAACCCACAAACCCATTGCTATAGAGTTAGAACCCACTCATAGCATAGCTGGTCTTGGATTTTGTATGCTGAGCCTTGGGATACCAAGGCTGTAAAGCACATAGCAGGAGATTGTACATTTTTATTTCCAGGAGATACAGCACAATTCCCTATGGACTACGCCACCAGAGTTCCTTCTGTGTCTTTAACACAACAGACAAGTCATTGCTGTAAATCAGAATTGACTCATAGCTAACCCTGTCAGGTTTTCAGCATTTGTGGAAATCACAAGGGAGGAAATTGTCCACCTTTCTCCCTCAGACTAGCTGGTAGATTCAAACTACCTGCCTTTAAGTTGGCATTGCAACTCTCTACCCATGAAGCCACCAGAGCTCCCTTCTGTGGTTTTAGGAAACTCATAAAACTGGTGGTTCCCTGTGTTCTAACTGTTATAAATGGAGGAATAACAGAATCACATTCCTTTTTACTGAGGATACAAATGACTAAAAAAAAAATAAAAAATCCTGGCATTCAGTTCAGCCATTGGGCGAAATGTAATTAAAGTCAAGCATTCTGATGGATGCTGAGTTTCACAGCTGAAGCAAAACCCAGTTTTGACCCTGAGTAGCTCACAATCTCTTAGAGAACCTTCATGTAAATGAATAGACATAATATAAAGTGGCAAGTGCTGTAATAAAGGCATAGTGAAAGGGTCCCAGGAGCACAGATTTAGCCTGGGAAAGGCATGGGAGATAAAATGGCTCTGAAATGCTAAATGGTGATCAGTTGCAAGGTGTTGTGTTGTTTTTTCTCATTAGCCAGTTGTAGTATAGCTAGAATAAATTTCAGACTTATTCTAGCTAGTTTCATATTTCTCAATTTCTTCTCCAATTCTGAAAAGTGAATTGGGTATATTTAGCATTATTCTTAGTAAAGGAACTAAGCAATGCCTTTTCAATGCATTCAAAATAGGATAAATATTTAGTTATAGAAAACTGAAGTGATTGGTCTAGTGTTGCTTAATAAATATGGTGCTTTTTTCATTTTTCTCTTTAACTCACACTCATACCCCTATACTGCCTGGCTAACAACAGAAAACAAAAAGTATATGATCCCATACTGGAAAAATAAATCATATTCAAACTTGATGTGACTCATTTTGTTTTGATTAACATTTCAGGGGAGGTAAGTGGGTGGCAATGATCTGGAGACATTTCTAAAGGAGACACAATGAAGTGAACTTATTCACTAATAGGAAAAAGGACAAAACATACTCCAAAACTTATAACTTGAACTGAATAAAAGCATGAACAGTATGTGTTCAAAACTTGGCCACACATTGAGCGATTTTCTGTGTGTGGCTTCATAAAATCTAGCATCTCATTGCATAAAACCCAGATATGCAAAGTTCCATTAGAATCTATTCATGTTGCTCTCAGAAGTAAAAGAAAAATTTGGTCTTTGATGCACTCTTTTACTAAGGACAGTGAAAAGTTACAAAGTGGATTTTAGAATAGCCATGTGAATGGCACAACATTCTAGTAGCTCCAAATTGTCCTCTGTCCCCTTCCAAATCAGAACATATTGACCACTGCATCCTTTTGATAGCTGGTGGATATTATGTTATATGGATATGCGTATGGACATTTACTTAACCAGTGTGATCTGATGTCAAATGAAATACGTTTACCTATTATTAACGAGAATAGTTAGAGTCACATTAACTAAAAATAAGTTATTTATGCTCAATGGCTCTTCCAACTATTTTTTCTTCAAAAATGAACACTTTGAGATATAAAAATGTATACATCTTACCTAACATTCCAACTTCTGGGTATTTATTCTATAGCAATTGATGTGGATGTGAGTAATTAGTACATACAAGGGTATTGATTGTAGAAGTTGGAAACTCAACATCTCCTCAGCTGAGGCTTTATATGCCTTCATGTACTCTTGATCTTTCTGTTTCATTAGTTAGTTGTTCCTTCTCTTTTTTCTCCACTCATTCAGAATACAATTGTTAAAAATTGGAGTCTCTGTTGCTTGGCCCTTCTTTTCCCTTCAACTTTATCTACTTCCCTAGGCATTCTTGTATCTTTCCCTTCATTGCTTTTGTTTTCATGTTTGCTTACCTTAGTAAACAATGTTTTTCCCTATTTTTTTTGTTTCAATGACATTTATTCATCTTCTTAGAGGTTACCCTGTCAGATCCTACTTTATTCCTAAGTATCAAACAGTTCACTCTATTTTGAAATGGACCTGATTTCCTCTCCATGTGACAATTCTGCAGCTACACTATTCATTCTCTGTGTTTTGCAGTCGGCCTCATTTAAGGACTGATACCACTGGTTCCCCATTTTTAGTCCCAATATGTTTCTTTGAAATTGTGTGTTTCTATATCTGACTTGGCTTCTGGATGATGTTCTCATGTGTGTTAACTTCAGGTTGTTATCTGCCCTTGTCTGTTCTCCATGGCAAGAATTCCCTTCAGTATTTCTTGTAAGATTGGTCTGGTTTTCACAAATTTTTTAATGTCTACTTCTCTACAAATGTCTTCATTTCATTGCCACATTTGAGGGACAATTTTAAGGAGTGTATTCAGGATTTGTCCTTCTGCTTTGCCCCCATGACTTTTAAATAAGTTCTAACTTCAAACTCAGACCCTCCCTAAACTAGACCCTTCCTCTCAGTCCCAGACCCAAATCTAACTGTCTAAAACTTTCTAACTGTCCACTGGGATAGCTCATATATTCAACACATTAATAACAGAATTCCACTCTCTCCCTCACATCCATGTTTTTGTGACTCCGTGTATTCTGTGTATGTGGGACCCAGTTACATTAAGAAAACCCCTGGGAATAACATTCCCCCTCCCTCAACTTTCTTTTTTAAAAAATTTTATACTGGTTTAATTACAAAGTTCATATACATTGTTTTTTTTAATTTCTTCCTCTCTCTTAGCCTAATCAGGAAATTGCACTAATTTTACCTTCTCAACATCTCTAACCAAAAAAAAAAAAAACCAAA